GGAAGAAACTGGATGAGCGGATTAGGGTTTGAGGATTATTTGTTTAATTTTAATTTGATATTTTTAGTTAATTTACTTATTTACCCTTAATGAATTCTGTTGTTATAATAACAACATCAGGGATGTTGTTATATTATCCTCACCCCTCTCTAGCACCCCCTTGAAGTGTTGAATGAACCAACTTAAATTACAATTAATAGAGCAAATACTACTCGAGGAGTGGCCACACTGAAATTCAAACCTAAGACCTTTGGGTTGAAAACTCCATTATTATCATTATATAACCGGTCGACTCCTCATATTTCAAATTTCAATTATTTATAAAACTAATTTAATTATTTTACATGAAACACACTTAAAAAGGTAACAGACCCATCTAATCATCTCACAATATCTTATATGTTATAACCTAAGTCCTAAGCTTCCTCCTCATAAAACAAAAAAAAACCTTCTATTTAAACACTATCCAACATTTCATTACCGTAGCTAATAAAGTCTTCAAATTCTCAACATAATTTTTTCAAACACGACGAACCACCCATCCACCGTAAAAACAGCGGGAGCCCGTTGTTTATATGTAGTTGAAATGTCAATAGATGTCACCACTTGTCGAACTCCATGGATGGAATCGAAGAAGGAGAAGAGAAAGAAGAGATCGAAGCCCCCGTAGCTGCAACTGTCACATTGGAAGAAGAGGGAAAAGAACAGAGAGCTTCTTCGTTGCAAAAAGGGAAAGGAAAGAAGAAGCAAGAAACGACATCGTAGTGTATATATCACTTTGTTATTTATTAGTTTAGTTATCCAGTCATGCATTGCCACTTGTCTCGTTTTATATGGACAAGGTAGTTAGAGACCGTTTGTCTTGTAGTTCAGGTTTGATGTACATATACTAGCAGCTTTGTTGCAGAAATCAATCAGAAAATCATTATACAAATTCATCTTTTCTCAAATATTCTCATGGTATCATAGCCTCTGGCTTACCTCATCTAGGGTTTCATGACCTTTCGAAAGCGTCGCTGTGGCGATTAATCAAGAGGACAACTCTTCTACAACAACAACAGTCGCAGCCACAACAGGAGCAACGGTTGCAGCTCTTCAGCATCAACGACAAGCAGTCGACCCCTATTATGTAAACCCAAATGAGAACCTGCCTCAAGGTATCATTTCTGTTAAACTTGATGGAACAAACTATCATGTATGGAGTAAATCAATGCGCATAGCTCTTAAAACCAAGAAGAAACTTGGGTTTGTAAATGGAACCTTACCTATGCCTCAGCCAACAGATCCAGATTATGAAATCTGGGATCAAAGCAACACCAACGTAATGGGTTGGATCTTGAACTCATTAATAGATTCTATAGCAGAAGTAGTGATGGATAATGAGTCTGCTCAAGACCTCTGGAAAGATTTGCAGGAAAGATATGGAGAAGCTGATTCTATCAGACTTACTCACATCAGAGGGATGATTGCTGCCTGCAAACAGAACAACAACACTGTCACAGAATACTACAATAGATTGGGTGTTCTGTGGACAGAATTCATGTCATTTAAGTCTATTCCTGCTTGTGAATGTGCAAATGTACCTCATACTATGAACTATGTGACTTATGCTGCAATCAAGGATTCACAGGAATAAGATCACACTATTGACTTTATCATTGGACTGAATGATACTTTGAAATGACAAAGAATCAGTTGCTAATGATGGATCCAACACCAAATCTAAAATTAGCATACAAGTATGCTCTGAAACTGGAAAGACAAATGGTCAAACAACCAGCCAAGGAAGGAACTGGTGTGGATTCATTAGCACGGGCTGCTGCAAGCCAAGGAAAGGGACGAGATCCAAGGAATGATTACCCTAGAGGAGGAAGGCCAAACCAATACCAAGGGAACTATCCTAGAAACAACCAAGGGAACTACCCTAACAACAGTCAAAGAGGAAACAATGAAGGAAGTGGAGCTGGACAACAGAAGCTGTTTTGCAACTACTGCAAGAAGAACAACCATGTGATAGTTGACTGCTGGAGACTAAAAAGGAAGAGAGGTGAACCTGCAAGACCAAATTATGCAGCAGCTACTTCAAGTGGAGTTCAGGAACAAGGCAGCACAGGATATTCTGGGGGGAAATGATCAGGACAACAAGAGTCATAGTACTACCACACTGCAACTCGCAACTGAAGATTACAACAGACTCATGATGTTGCTACAACAGAATGCAGGACCTGTTGCTGCAAATCAACCCAACATACAACCACAAGCACACTCTATGTCCAGATGCATCAATCATATTGTCTGACAGTGCAAGTAAATACATTTTGTCCACTTTCAATGCTTGCAAACAGAATGAATTATTGAATAATTGGATTATAGACACTGGTGAATATGATCATATGTGATGCACCCTTACCTCTTTCACTACCTATCATCTAGTAGAGAACATCTTTGTCACCTTGCCAACTAGTTCTTGAGTCAAAGTAGAACACATTGGAACATTCAAAATCAATCACAATCTCACCTTGAACAATGTTCTACATGTTCCAAGCTTCACCTTTAACCTCATTCCTGTTAGTTCTCTTACCAAATCCCTTCCTATCACCCTAAACTTTCAATCTGACTTCTGTGTTGTTCAGGACCTACATACACAGAAGAGGATTGGTTTTGCAAGAGAACTTAGAGGGCTTTATCAACTTCAAACATCTGCCCCTAATTACAAACAAGACAGCAGTGTAGTAGCACAAGTGAGCAAGAATGAGAGTGAAGACATGCATCTGTGGCATGCTAGATTAAGACACATATCCAATTCTAGAACTAAACATTTTCATAAATGTAATCCTGAAGTACCTCTGAGTGTTATCAGTCATTGTGAGACTTGTCACTATGCTAGACAAAAGAAACTTCTCTTCTAGCCTACACAATTGTAAAGAACCATTTGAGCTCATACATTGTGACATTTGGGGGCCATTGAGTACAGTCTCCTATGATGGTTTTTCATACTTTCTAACCATTGTAGATTATTTTTCTAGGGCAGTATGGGTCTATCTTATGAAAGCTAAATCTGAAACTAGACCTATATTGCAACAGTTCTGCACTGTGGTCCTAAAACAGTTTGACAAACCAATCAAAACCATCCGAACATATCAGGGACAAGAGTTCCATATGGTAGATTACTTTAGAGAACATGGCATGACACACCAAATGTCATGTGTAGAAAGACAGCAACAAAATGGCCGATTAGAGAGAAAACACCAAGACATCCTAAACATAGCTCGAGCTCTTAAGTTTCAATCCAATGTTCCCCTCAAATTCTGGAGTGACTGTGTTCTTTATGCAGTACACATCCTAAACAGACTTCCCACACCAATCCTAGCAAACAAAACCCCATTTGAAAAACTGTATGGCAGATCACCAGACTACTCGCCACTTAGAGTGTTTGGTTCTTTGTGTTATGCTGCTACACTGGAAAATGGGAGGACAAAGTTTCAACCAAGAGCAAGAAAAGGAATATTTGTTGGCATTCTGCCAGGATTAAAGGGTATAAGGTCTATGATCTAACTACCAAGAAAGTCTTTGCCTCCAGGGATGTTATTTTCCATGAAAACATATTCCCTTTCACAACCAATACCACATCAGAACTCCCAATACCTTCTAATCTTACTCCTCCTTCTGCCACTTCATCCTCCACCACAAAAAAAAAAAAATTATCCCTACCCCAGCACTAGGTCATATGCATACAGGTTTTAATCCAATAGTTCATGACATTCCTACTATTCCAGTTACACCTGGTTTCATCAATTTTGACACAATGGATGCCTATGTTTCTGAGTCTATTGATGAAGTGCAAGCAGAAGGAGAAGGGGGGATAACACAAGAAGTTAACACTTCTTCTCCCTCACCTTCACCTCAACCTGTAAGGAAATCAGCCAGAGTAAGTAAAACACCAGTGTGGAATGGTGATTACTTTGTTGGCAACTCATAAAGCAAATATCCCATATCTGCTCACATGGACTATTCTCAACTCAGTTAGAGCCACAAACACTACTCTCTAGCTGTGACAAATCTATAGGATCCAAAGACCTTCCATGAAGCTATGCTAGAAGAGTGGAGGAGAGAAGCAGTACAGGAAGAGTTGAAAGCATTAATTGCCAACCATACCTGGGACATAGTTGATTGTCCTGTCAGAAAGAAACTGATTGGGAACAAGTGGATTTTCAAAACAAAATTATTTGCAAATGGTTCTACTAAAAGATTCAAGGCAAGGCTAGTAGCACAAAGGTTCACACAAATTCCAGGGATTGATTTCCTGGACACTTTCTCTCCAGTAGTGAAGATTAACACTATCAAGATCTTAATGGCTGTAGCAGCAGTGAAAAACTGGCACTTGAGCCAGATGGACATCAGTAATGCCTTCTTAAATGGGGATTTGGAGGAGGAAGTGTACATGAAGATCCCACTTGGGATTGAAGGAATGGAAGGAAAAGCTTGCAGGCTAAGAAAATCACTCTATGGCCTCAAAAAGGCCAGTAGACAATGGTATGCAAAATTAACTGAAGCCTTGGTGTGTTTTGGATTTGTTCAATCCTACTCAGATTACTCAATGTTCATAAGAAAGGTCCCAATGGAATTGCAGTAATATTAGTGTACGTTGATGCTTTGATTTTCGCTGGGGATGATGAAGAACTTATTCAGCAGGCCAAGGATTTCTTGTCACAGAAGTTCAAAGTGAGAGATCTTGGAAAGTTAAAGTATTTCATAGGACTGGAAGTAGCAAGAAGTAGCAATGGAATTTCAATCACACAAAAAAAATATTGTCTGGATCTGTTACAAGACACAGGTTTCCTTAATTCAAAGCCATGTAGGACGCCATCAGACATGAAGACCAGATTGACAAAATATGGAGAAAAGAATAATGAAGACCCACATCATTACAAGTCCCTAATTGGAAGACTAGGATATTTAACAAAAACGAGACCTGACATAGCATTTGTTGTCCAGCAACTATGTCAGTTCCAGTCACAGCCAAAGACTTCACACATCAAAGCTGCACACACAATTTTAAGGTATCTCAAAAACTCTCCAGGTCAAGGGTGGTTTTTCGCATCAAACGCAGACTTCTCCTTAATAGGATACAGCGATTCAGACTGGGGGGCTTGCCCTGACACTAGGAGATCCATCACTGGGTACTGCACGTTTCTGGGAAACTCACTGATCACATGGAAGGCAAAGAAACAACCAATCGTGTCCAAGTCATCATCCGAAGCGGAATACAGAGCTTTAGCAAAAATGTCTTGTGAGATTCAATGGATCACACATAGGGATGGCAATCAAACCCATGCTTTGACCGGGTATGGGGCGGGTATGGGTAAAACCGGCAAAAAGTTTGATGGGTATGGGGCGGGTATGGTTTTAGCCTCCCCCGCCCCATACCCATACCAATAACCGCTCCACCAAGAGAATTTCTTCACATATCAAAAAATATGTGGATTAAATTGTAATCTATCAATGATGATGATGATAACTCGAGAAAATAAATAGTAGAAATGCAATTGAGTAACAACCTTAATCAAAACTGATAGACCGTCATTTACACATGTTTTTACCCTCATACTTACACCGTTTGAGGTGTTGATTCTCGTGTTTTAGGCCGATTTCACGCTAGGTTGTGCTTGGTTGTGTTATTTCAGGTCTTAGTACGTGAATGAAGGCTTAGGAGCGAGTCTGGGGTCGATTGGACGAAGAACGGACGAAGGGCGAGCTTTTGGAGGAGTGTACGGGCAGACCAGGAGGCTGCACGGCCGTGCACATGAGCCATTTGGCCGTGCGCCTCTGGCCGAGGCCGTGCACGGGCACAATCCAGGCTTGCACGGCCGTGCGCCTGGCCGTGCAAGAAGGCTGAGCTCCAAATAAATGAAACGGTGCGTTTTGAGGGTGCACGGCCAGAATGGTGTGGTGCACGGCCGTGCACCTGCCCGTGCAACTCGGGGAGACCGGTTTTAGTGCCTAATCCGAGCCAAAAGTGGGAGAATCGCGTTTTGAGAGCAAAAACAGAGCCCTAGAGAGAGAAAGTGCGAAGAACTCATCCTAGAAGCTATCTTGGAGCTGGATTTCATCGAATCGAGCCTGGAGATTGTCATAGGAGTGAACATCATCGTCCCGGAGCAGATTATCCTCATCGTTATGAGTATGACTAATCCGATTCTTGTTTTCTCTTCTCTCTCTATGGAGTAGAACCCTTCTCTCACTTGGGTATGAAGAACCCTAGTTCCTTGTGTTAGGGATTTGATTGTAATGACTTGGGATGATATTATTGTTTGATTTTAATCGAATGACGCATGTTTCATGAATTGATTTGAGTCTGATCAGCTTGTCTCAATTTCTGCTTCAACCTGAGATAGATAGAATCTGATTCAGGTTGTTAGAGCCTCTTCATTCGATAGTAGGAGATTGGCTATACGAGAGTTAGCCGGTTTACTGCTTTGTACTGGTGTTCTTGACGCCAGTAGTGGAGTTCTGTGTTCACTAGCCTCAGCTTTCTATCCCGGTGAAGACTAGTCGTCTGCCGGGTAGTTAGACTGAGAGGGCTTGGTCAGCTTAAGAGATTCCAAGCTACTGTCGGATCTTCCGCAGTCTAATCAACAGTAAATCAACCCAGGGAATTGCAATTGAACCTAACTAAGGGGCTAGGGGGACTCAATCCCGAGTGACTCTTACCTGCTTTTGAAAACCGAACCATTTCCTGCTTTCTTACTGCTTTTGCTTTAAATAACACTCACTCGAATTAGTTTGCTAGATAATAGAGAATCACGGAGTAAGCAGTAGATCTAGACCCCGGGTTGATAATTAAACTTGTCTGTTACTGCATTCCCGGACTGCGATTACACTTGGCCGCAGTTTGGTGTTGTGTTTTGGCGTGTCAAGTTTTTGGCGCCGTTGCCGGGGACCCCTCTAGGTTATTGGGGAAACGTGATAATTTGTTACTCTAGCTTTTATTTACTGCATTTTATCTCTTCCACCTGTGTGCCTTCACGGGTTGCTTCTACTGATTGTGTGCAGGTAGTGCATGACCCGTAGCCAGTCGGGAGATCTACTACCATTAGACCAGGAGCTTGAACGAACTTGTAGGAACTTCAAGCGGGCTCTAAAGGCGCGACTGGCTGAGGAGGAGGCGCTGTCACAGCTGTAGTTAGGAGAAGAAGAAGAAGAAGGCGAGATGGGGGATCCGCAGAACAACGATCTGATCCCCGGGGAGCAGACCATGGGATCCTACTGGACCGCTAGGGCTGCGGACATGAGGTCACCTATTCAACACCCTCAGGTCCCAGCCAACAACTTTGAGGTGAGCACCTCCGTGATCACCATGCTGCGCGGTTCAGTAGTGTTCCGTGGTAAGGAGGGAGAGTGCCCTCGATCACATCTCAGGCGATTCCACGAGCTCATCGATGGAATCAAGATCAATGGGGTACCAGCAGATGCCATCCAGCTGAGGTACTTCCCATTCACTCTGGAGGGGCAAGCCAAGGAGTGGCTAGACACTCGACCTCCGGGCTCCATCACCACGTTCGCCAACCTGGCGGACTAAGTTCCTCACCCGCTACCATCCTCCATCCAAGACAGCTGATCTCCAGAAGCAGATTACACACTTTTCTCAGGATGAGGATGAGACCATTAGGGATGCTTGGGAGAGGTACACCAGCCTCTTTCTCAGGTGTCCCAACCATGGTTTCAATGATGCGTTTAAGGTGGGCACTTTCTATCACGCCCTCTTCCCGGAGGACAAGCAGCTGATCGATTCGGTTTGTGGCGGGAACATGCTGACCAAAACCCCGCCACAGCTGAATCAACTCTTTGAGGAGATGGCGGAGAACGGTTATGACTGGGGCACTGCCAGGAGATCGAGACGAGCACCTGGAAGGGGTGTGCATGCTGTGGGCACCCAGTCATCTGATCTGGTGCAGGTGGTATCGAAGCTGGTTTCAGCTATCGATCGTTCTGGTTTGATTGCAGGTACCGGACAGCCGCAGGCGATGCACTGCCAGTGGTGTGAGAGCTCTCATCACACCGTGGAGGACTGTCAGGCTATGAGGGAGTCGTCCACTCCCCAGGAGCAGGTGGATTTCATCGGGAATGCCAGGCGCTTTGACCCCTACAGCAACACCTATAATGAGGGGTGGCGCCAGCATCCTAACTTTTCTTGGGCTGGGCCAAATCCCAGACCACCAGCTCCCCAGGGACCTCCCGGTTTCCAGAGGCCTCCATACCAGCCCAGACAGGGGCAATTTCAGCAGCAAGCAGCAGCCACTCTACCAGCCCAGACAGGGGCCAGTTCCACCTCAGTCGCAGGCACGACCATTTCCACAGGCAGGGGCAGCCCCAGCACAGGTTGACCCGATGGCGGAACTGAGAGATCTGGTGGGTTCTCTGGCCTCCTCCAGTGCGAGTAAATTCAATAACATGGAGCAGTTCATGGAGAAAGCTTCTGGCAAGTTCTTAGAGCTAGAAGCTGGTCAGAGAAACACGCAGGCTGTGCTGCGAGATATACAGACCCAGCTTGGTGGTGTTGCCCAGGCTGTTGCTCGGAGGACTCCAGGTACCTTGCCTGGTCAGACCATCCCTCACCCGCAGAACCAGGATGAAAACTGCAGTGCCATCACAACCAGGAGTGGCAAGGTGACTGCCGATTCACCTGTTCGGGCAGCGGAGAAAGAGACCCCTGCTTCAGCACTTCCAGCTAATCAGGAAGAAATGGAGAAGGAGGTTGAGGTGCCTGCTCCTACACCGCAACCAGTGGTGAAGGAGTATGTACCACAGCTTCCCTTTCCTACTCGGTTGCACAAAGACCGACTGGAGACTGAGTTTGCCAAATTCATGGCAATGCTGAAGCAGGTGAATATTAGCATGCCCTTCGTGGAGGCATTATCGAAGATGCCCAAGTATGCCAAGTTCATGAAGGATCTCCTCACCAACAAGAGGAAGCTTGGGGAGCTGTCTACGGTGATGCTAAACGAGGAGTGTTCTGCCATCCTGCAGAACAAACTACCAGAGAAGCGAAAAGATCCAGGGAGTTTCACTATCCCTTGCATGATTGGTAGTTTGCATGTAGGGAAGTCCTTGGCGGATTTAGGCGCTAGCATTAATGTCATGCCTTATTCATTGTTTAAGAAGCTAGGCCTAGGTGAACCCAGTAATACTAGGATGAGCATCCAGCTTGCTGATAGATCTATTGTGCATCCTAGGGGTATAGCAGAGGACTTGATAGTCGCAGTAGGGCCATTTTCATATCCTGTTGATTTTGTGATTCTGGACATAAATGAGGATGTTGATGTGCCATTGATACTGGGTAGACCTTTTCTCGCCACCGCCAAGGCACTGATTGATGTTAATGATGGAAAGCTGATTTTGAGAGCTGGGGGTGAACAAATCACCTTCTCTGTTTCTGATAATATGAAACACCCCCAGCTCCATGATGATCTTGATTACTGTGATGTTGTTGCTGATTTTGAGACCGCACTCGCCATCACGAGTGCGGGTACTGATGATTTCCTTGAGCGTTGTCTTTTGCTAGGGGAACAGGCATCACAGGATATGCAGCTGGCGGAGCAGCTGGCGGAGCTGGACGAGGCTGCGAGCGAGGGGCGAGAGCTGCCATTCAAGCCGATTCCCATCTCGCCCCGGCTCGCTACATCATTGGAGGAGCCACCAGAGTTGGAGCTTAAGCCCCTCCCATCTCATCTGGAGTATGCATTTCTCCGGGAGGGGAATAAGCTCCCGGTTATTATTAGCTCGGATCTGACCCCCGAGCAGAAGAGCAGGCTGGTGGCTCTGTTGCAGAAGTATGCCCGGGCCATGGCATGGAAGATCACTGACATCAGAGGCATTAGCCCATCCTTCTGCTCTCACAGAATCTTGATGGAGGATGAGGTTAAGCCAGTCAGGCAGCCGCAGAGGAGATTGTCTCCTAACTTGGAGGCAGTGGTCCGGGCAGAGATCGTGAAGCTCATGGATGCAGGGATCATCTTTGCTATATCTGATAGCAAGTGGGTCAGCCCCACTCAGGTGGTCCCGAAGAAAGGCGGGATGACTGTGGTCCCGAACGAGAAGAAGGAGTTGATCCCGATGCGGACCGTGACCGGCTGGAGAGTCTGCATCGATTACCGGCGCC